AGAAGGTTGAGAATGCGCTCAAATTAAACGAAACGTTTAATTTCATTTGAAGGAGGTGACTTTGAACTGAACTGATTCGGTGTCTTTGTCTTAACGCGTCATCGGCCGAGCGCTTTTAGCGTTGCGAAGTCGGAACTAACGACGCGGTCCAGAGAGACGACGTCTCAACGCGACGCCTGGTCGCTGTGAGACGACGTCTCAACGCGACGCCTGGTCGCTGTGAGACGACGTCTCAACGCGACGTCTGGTCGCTGTGAGACGACGTCTCAACGCGACGTCTGGTCGCTGTGAGACGACGTCTCAACGCGACGTCTGGTCGCTGTGAGACGACGTCTCAACGCGACGCATGGTCGCTGTGAGACGACGTCTCAACACGTTGCCTGTTATTTCTCCAGCGGAAATTTTTCGGCACAGAATCACTGATATTTCTACAATCTCTCGTAAACAAATGTAATTATTCCTAAGTACCGTGGCCAATTGGTTTTGCATACCAAATCAACAGTCTGAAGAGTGATTTAAATTAGCGTACAATGGATTTCAGTGTTCAAAAAGACAACATAACATTCTTTGAACAAACACAAATGGCCCAATGACAACGTCATTATTGAATTATTGGAGCTATTCAATCTTGTTTTGGTCGCGCAATAATTATTAAATAATTTGGACGGCTTGTTTCATTGTTGATAATCCTGCAAATGTAAACGCTTCTCCATAATTTTTATTCATATACGAAAAATCCGTTACTTGGCAACGACAACCCATAACATGTCATAGTTCATGTTCATACGCCTTCTTTATATATACATCACATCGCACTAACCCATAACATGTCATAGCTCATGTTCATACGCCTTATTTATATACACATCACATCGCACTAACCCATAACATGTCATAACTCATGTTCATACGCCTTATTTATATATGCATCACATCGCACTAACCCATAACATGTCATAGCTCATGTTCATACGCCTTATTTATATATACATCACATCGCACTAACCCACAACATGTCATACGCCTTATTTATATATGCATCACATCGCACTAACCCATAACATGTCATAGCTCATGTTCATACGCCTTATTTATATATACATCACATCGCACTAACATATAACATGTCATAACTCATGTTCATACGCCTCATTTATATATGTATATGTACAATGTATATGTACGTATAGCCTCCTCACGCTGACATGCGGTGGCAGGACGAAGGCTGGTTTAAATCTCCGCAAGGCGCCGCCAATGAGCCGTAAAAGTCAGCATGCAGTACGTTAACCCCTCTAAAGCAAGCATATTTTCGTAAATATTACTGAACTATACATTAACAGCGCCCAAGGAAGACTAAACCGAGTTTGGTGCAATTATACACCACTGAAACACGTTTTTGATGTTATAAATGAATTTTGAGTGTACAGAAATTGTTTTTTTTTTTGAGGAAAGGGTCGCTGAAATTAGTTCACATTAAAAAACATTTGGGGTTCTACACAGCAAAACTTTAGGATTATATTGTTTACATGAGCATGATTTAATTTCAGCACTTGACCTCGACACACGAATAAGTCACATGAAGAGTAAAGCTGGAGAAATATAGTCAATATCAATTTCAGACTTGTCTTCTTAAGACGTTTGTTTGGTCCAGCAAAAACGTTGCAAAATAGAAATGATATTAATCTTCCTTTCAATAATTTAACTACTCAATAGTAAATTAAACTAACTATTAATTAATAGTGGTTAATGATTAATTAATAGTAAATATAATAGTTAGTTTCATTTTCGTGAGCTTCACTTGAAAGAAAATTGCGTCTTGCAGCGATGGGGAAAAGAAGAAACCTCAGGAAGTTTGATGGTAATGAATTTAGGAGAATTTCCTGTACGCAGCGGAGCGTTAACAACTGCGGTCCACTTACAGGTCTAACAACTGGTCACCGCCAACAAAAGTCGAGATTTAAATACATTAAAGAATAGCGCTATGAATTAGTGCAAAAATTGAGTAAATAAAAGCGAATTTGCGAAGGCCGGCAGAACATAACAGCCACGGAACAAAGTTGACTCAGGCAGACATAGTAAAGCCGGCACAAAGTTGACTCAGGCAGACATATTAAAGCCGGCAGTGCACATCACAGCCACGGAACAAAGTTGACACAGCCAGACATAGTAAAGCCGGCACAAAGTTGACTCAGGCAGACATAGTAAAGCCGGCACAAAGTTGACTCAGGCAGACATAGTAAAGCCGGCACAAAGTTGACTCAGGCAGACATAGTAGAGCCGGCAGTGCACATCACAGCCGCGGCACAAATTTGACTCAGGCAGACATATTAAAGCCGGCACAAAGTTGACTCAGGCAGACATGAGTAAGGACGGTAGTTCGTTCATCCGCTCTTAGACCGGAAATTCGCAAGCTTCTCACGGTTTTTTGATTGCATCGTGACTAACCGCCCAAAGCCGACGACACACGTGACGTCATCGCCATCTCCAAATTATCTTAAATATAGAGAAAAAGACACCTCTTCCTTCAAGATTAATAATGATTTCATACCACGTGCGACGACGGCAATATTCGTGAACACAAAGACGTATTTAATATATAATTAATGAAAATAAATCAACTTTGCCAGCGGTGACGCGTAGATACGCGATGCTGCCTCAAGCCTAAGGTACTGTATATGCGTGAAGTATCGTAGTTATAGTAGTCAAACAACAATGCTCGATAAATGCAATTAAAATGACTTTCAATTCAATTTTAGTGTTCCTTACAGCAGCGTGCACCATTATTGTCTCTCACTATTCCCCGCAATTCCTTGATCCAACGGACGACAGAATACTCCATGACATTAGAATCAACATATAAGGCTAGAATAGTGCTTTGGCTTCACACCATCTGCCGCATCGGTGAGACTATGTATCGCTACACGACTCTAAAAATAACTCAAATAAATATAATTAAATAATGTAAAGAAAACGGTCCTTAATTACCACGGCTGTGCACATCGACCATGCGGCCACAGGTCAGTACAATGGGAAGCCACCAAATGTGTGTTTAAAACGAAGAGGGGGAAATAGCAGGCTACCAACAGAGGGGAGGGATATATATTGCAGGTTGAAAACAGGGGCGAGTGGATTGTAGAGTAAAAGAGAGGGTGGGAATGCAATGTTAAAAACATTGGTGAGGTCATTGGGGGTTAAACAGAGGAAGGGGAATACTAGGTTGAAAACAGGGATGACGGAATTGGATGTTAAAAACATTTGGGGAATGTTAGGTTGAAAACAGAGGAGGGGGGCGGGGTGGCAGGTGCGTAACGCCGGAAATGAGCGCCGCTGGTCGCTTGCTGCGGCCGCTGCGTGGAGGGGTTAGGGTGGAGGGGTCAGAGTGGAGGGGTCAGGGTGGAGGGGTCAGGGTGGAGGGGTCAGGATGGAGGGGTCAGGGTGGAGGGGTCAGGGTGGATGGGTCAGGGTGGAGAGGTCAGGGTGGAGGGACCAGGGAGGAGGGGTCAGGGTGGAGGGGTCAGCGTGGAGGGATCAGGGTGGAGGAGGGGCTGTATGCTGTTTATATTATGGTAGGCCCAGGCTCAATTTTTTTTATTTCAACCGTGTATTTTATTCCAATTTATCACCAGATTGTATTTTATAGACCAAGCAGTACATAGGCTCATAGCAATATCATCATCAGACGCTTGACTAATGCAACCTACATCATCTCCATGATTGTGGGTGATGTGGAGCACCATGATTGTGGGTGATGTGGAGCATCATGATTGTGGGTGATGTGGAGCACCATGATTGTGGGTGATGTGGAGCACCATGATTGTGGGTGATGTGGAGCACCATGATTGTTGGTGATGTGGAGCACCATGATTGTGGGTGATGTGGAGCAATAAACACTGCACCTGTGGGTATGATTGCAGTGACGATACGATATCTAACATTGTAATTATTTTCCGACGTTAAATAAATTTATGCATTGTACGAAAATCAGACAATAAGATGAAGATTTCCGCTGCAGCCTACATCACAACACGGCAGGCCTATACCTGCAGGCCGCTGCAGCCTACATCACAACACGGCAGGCCTATACCTGCGGCCGCTGCAGCCTACATCAGAACACGGCAGGCCTATACCTGCGGCCGCTGCAGCCTACATCATAACACGGCAGGCCTATACCTGCGGCCGCTGCTGCCTACATCATAACACGGCAGGCCTATACCTGCGGCCGCTGCTGCCTACATCATAACACGGCAGGCCTATACCTGCGGCCGCTGCTGCCTACATCAGAACACGGCAGGCCTATACCTGCGGCCGCTGCTGCCTACATCAGAACACGGCAGGCCTATACCTGCGGCCGTTGCAGCCTACATCAGAACACGGCAGGCCTATACCTACGGGCCGCTGCAGCCTACATCAGAACACGGCAGGCCTATACCTGCGGGCCGCTGCAGCCTACATCAGAACATGGCAGTTCTCATTTGCTAATTTAATGAAGGTCTCGAAACAATTACTTGCGCTCACATCAGCTCTTGAGCAACATTAAATGCAGACTTGACCATACGACATTGATTGGATATTCGCAGGAAGTTTAATTTTATTGGGATTTAAAAAGTCTTGAAATGTAGAATTTTTTTACCCAAACCCAGAATTAAGAGTATTGAACGAAGTTTAGTAATTGACAGTCGCTTCACCTGATCGATTTCTATTTGACCTGATCTTGCCTAGGTAGATGGTTTTAAATCGATTGTGGCTTGCCTGGTTCCTTCCTGTTTCAAAATATCATAATAATTACTTACGTCAAAATGATTATCTTGCCGACATAAGTGCTCCGATAATTATTTTAACATATTCTGTATTGCTCAATATTAAAAAGAGCGCTCTGTGTTCACAGATTCCTTTCAATGTGAGACAATTATCGATTGCCTACGTTTTAGATCCAGTGGCTGCGCTTCGTTCAAACTCCACATTAACAAAGTAAAATCAACAGAAATATTACATTGACTGACCTCGAGAAAAATAGTTTGCTCGCCTTGCAGCGCAATTTATCCGGCCATTTGTGATGTAATTCTAGCAACGGAAGTTTAACTTGGAGCCTTTCAGTGACCACCAGGTTACGAGCCGCGCCGCCCACCTCCTCACTCAATGAGACCTCGCGGCGTACTGACAACAGTAACAGTTCGTAGTAACTTCGGGTTGTAAGTTACAGGTTACTTGACTTAATAAAGTTCTGCCATAAATTGAAACTATAATCGAACACATTATGGAGCAAGTCTGATACGTTATGCATGCAAAAATGTAACCTGCTTAATTAATCCATAATTTAAAAATTAATAATATAAATCCACAATAAAATGGAGCATTGATTAATTATAGAACGGTGGAATATAATTTGTACATCAAATTTTGCACATCAGGTACTACTAACGAAATTGAAATTAACTATTCTCGTGCTGAGGCATGCGAACAAAGTAACCACATTGCCCCACCATATAATTTCTGATCGAGAGTGTTTCAATCAGCAATATTTAAAAGTGTTGAGATGGCTGCTGGTCATGTGAATTGCTTCAAGGGCTGGCGGTAATCATTATTTGAAATATTGAAGGTAAAATAAAAAATGTCTAATTTATGTCATGAAGACATAATTTCAAAATTGCTTTTTGAAATATTGAAGGTAAAATAAAAAATGTCTAATTTATGTCATGAACACCTAATTTCAAAAATGCTTTCAAAATATGGAGGTATTTTCTAGGCCTTTTGCTCTCCAATTGCTTCGCCAAGTATTTTTTTTATTTCAGTTATTATCTTTGTTTGATTGTTACACCATGGGATTATAATTTAACGGATCCAGAGACCAGAGTAACGTAAAACTAATTTGAGTGCTCAAAATTATACGAGCAATAGATTAATAAGTATCCTAGCTTCATAAATTTTGAAACATTTAACTTCTCGTTCCTGCCAGCGGATAATATTTGCAAAACTTAGCGCGAGACTTTTTTATTGTGTTGAAGACTTGTGGTGGCAGAAGTTTTTATCTTTGTTAAAGACTTGGCGCGACACTGTTTGGAATTTAGAAAAAAATCCATGACTTTTCCGTGACTCTCCATGAACATCAATATAATTTTCCAAGAGTAATATACGACAGGTTTAGCATGACTGAAAGACTAACCGTGCACATTCTAGCATCTCATACAGTTGATAAATATAAAACGTGAAAATGCATAGAGCAGACAGACACAGAGGAACAAAAATGACACATATCTTAAAATCAAGCCCACTGCACTGGTATTATTATGAATTAAATAGTGTCAAATCACAACAAATATTGAGTAATGCACACAAGATTGTACATGATAATGTCAATACAGTTCAGAACACTCGTCAACACCACTACCCTAACATTCAACTGGCAGCTATTTCATCAACTTTTTCTTTAATGTTCAGTTCAAGAGTGTCTAGCTTTGTTTTCAATGATCGCCTCATGACGTTGAACTTTGCGATAATTTTCAAATCCCCCTTTCTCTCCATTGCTTCTGCATGTTCATCTGCTGCTTGCTCAAGCGCCTTGATGCCCTCCTCCGTAAGCCATTTCTTCTTCAGTTCATCTAGCTGATCCAGCAAAGCCTTATCTACTGTGTTTTCTGGGCCTTTGCATTCTGCTCTTTCTCTTCTGCCAAATAAGTATTGTAGGCTGTTTTGGCAATGCCAGCTGCAAGCAGCATCTTCTTAGTGATGGTCATCTTGTCACGCCACCAACATGTGCAACATGATCAACCACAGCATGCAGCTAGGCCTGCTAGGGCAACCACCGTTCGCTCTTTCATGTTGTGTGTAATGATTTCTTTGTTGAACGAAATTCTCTTTCAACCGTGGTTTGGCCATGAGACAACATGAGCATCTGCAGTACAGACTGTACAGTCCATAGCTTCTTGTAGGTGCTCTTTGATAGAATGGCATACCAGAAAGTGTCCAGTCGATCAGAAGTTGAAAATGCTTGGAACTGTGCGTTCAGTTTACTGCAATGTTGTGATTCAGCTCTAAAGTTGCACAACTCATCGCACAACACCATCCACATCTGTGTTAGGGAATCTTTTGGCATCAACAAGCGAAGTGAGTCGGTTCTTCAATTGTGTCTTGTTGAAATTATAAGGACGATTGAAATTTCTTGTATATTAAAGAATAGAACTGTCGGCACTGAAGAAATAGGCCAATTGCCTGTTGCAGAAACTTGTACTTTTCGTGATTTGATTCCGCAAGGGATCCGGCCTTATGAACCCGATATTTCCACAACTGACGAATTGATTGAGATAGCTGCTGGACATATTGCAAGGCTCGTACGGTGCTACCGTGCTAGGCATCTCAAGACGGAACATATGCACCTGTATAGCTTTGTCTAGTCTGTTCATGAAGGCGTTCATACTCGGAGCGTCAACGATGCTATCAGGGAGGCTGTTCCACATGTCGGTGACTCAAAGCGAGAAGAAATGTTGTCGCATGGATGTGTAACAACGCAGTTTTTTTTATTTTATAACAGTGGCCTCTGGTGTTGGTTCTTGTTTCACATTCCAGTAATCCTTCTGGGACCTTGTATAAAACGTGGGTATACTTGCATACTTCAATGAGGTCACCACGCAGACGTCAATAACGGAGGATTGGAAGCTTCATAATCTTTAATTTTTCTTCATAAGGTTACCTTTTAATCCCGGAATCATCCTTGTAGCACGTCTTTGAACACTCTCGACTAAATTTTTGTCCTTTTTTAGTTTTGGTGACCACGCTGCGTTTCCAAACTCTAGGTTCGGACGCACGACAGCGACAAACAACAGCTTCATCGCTTCTGCATCAGTGTACTCGTAAGAGCGTCTTGCCAGTCAAAGTCGTTGATTGGTTTTATTAACTTGAGCTTCAATATGCTTAGAAAATTTCAACTCATTGTCGACATTAACCTCTAAATCTTTTTCCATTGTCGACTTCGACATCATCACTCCGTCGTTGCAACCATGTCTTCTCATAATGTAATCTTGCTGTTCATTATTCTTGTCAAGGTGGATAACTTTACAATTGTCAGCATTAACACGCAGCTGCCAATTATCAGCTCAGTCAACCAAACTGTCAAGATCACCTTGCAACTGTACTTTTGGCGACGTATTCCTCACTGTATTATAAACTTTTGTGTCGTCAGCATACATCGAGCACACGCTAGACATAGCTTCCGTCAGATCGTTTATAAGCGCAACGAATAAAACAGGTCCGACAACGCTTCCTAGTGGCATGCCGCTGCGCGCTGAAGCACAGTCTGATATACTGTCCAATTAATACTGACACGTTGTCGTCTCCCTACTAGAAAATCTTTGATCCATTTTAGTACATTACTCTCAATTCCCGAAGACTTCAATTTACGCAACAGCAGATCGTGTGGGACACTGGCAAATGCCTCCTAGCACCATATCGAACCCGGTGGAAGTCTAGTAGCTATTTCAAACTATCGTCAGTCCTGAAAAGATCTGTCAAATGACACGATTTTAGATCTTCTGTGAACAAGTCACGAAAAGTAAGAATAGGCGACAGGCCACATCAGGCCTATTCTTCAACGCCGACATCGCTATGTCATGTTATGTTAAATGATCGATCAATTAATCCCTCACAACAGATTCCATTACCTTGCAAACGACACTTGTCAAACTGCCAGGACGATAATTGCCCAGTCAGGTCTTGCCGCCTTTTTTGAACAATGGTGCCACTTGAGCTTCTTTCCACTCAGCCGGCAAGTTCCCTTCGTTTCAAGTTTTTCGAAAAAATGACGTCAAAGAGCGGTTGCTAACTCTTTGAGTAATCTGGGGTGGAAGCCGTTTGGTCCACACGACTTGTTGGGATTTAGAGCGATCGGGCGCTTGAGAACTTCTTGTATTTCAAAAGTTGTTAATTTAGAGCCGACTGGGCGTTTTTCAATATCTGGAATACCGTTCAAGTCCTCTTCAGTGAATACGCAACTAAAATACTGATTAAGAACGTAGCCTTGCCCTCATCACAGGATATCTTTCGTTGATCTACTTTCAAATCATAAATACCATCCGTTGCCTTGCACTTCGAGCTAGTGTACAAAAAGAATGCATTCGGGTTCATTCATGCATTTTTGGCGATATTTTTTTTAAGATCTTTACTGCGGTGCGACAGCTTTCTTTAGCTTGATTTCGAGCTCAGTGGCGTATAGGTTGTAATCAGCATCGCTACGAGTCTGTAAATATCGCTGGTAGGCTTCCTTCTTTGTTTTCAGCTTAGGTATAATTCTACCGTTCATCCACTGAGTTTTTGGGCTCCACCAAGCTTAATTTTAGGTACACGAGCAGCAACTGCAGATATAACCGTGCCCTTGAGAAATGGCCATGACTAAGTCACATTCATGTCAATACAGTTCGAAATATTCACTGCGTTCACTACTTTACGGAGTTTATCACAGTCGCCTTTCGCAAAATTCAAATGCTCACGCTTCCGAGGCGTTTTTTTCTGTACAGCACTTTTAGCTGAAAAACAATGATTGGTGATGACTTTTGCCCAATGGAGCCTTGTGAAGAAGCTCATCTAACATTGACTCATCACTAGTAAACACCAGTGGTCTAGAATATTGGGAGTCTGTGTACGTCTATAATGGGTTGGCTTGGTGACGTGCTGGACGGAATGTGTCTCTAACATACTACATGAACAAGGATGCTGAACTCCATGAAATGAGCCAATAAAACGGAAAAGCCAAAGTTTTTGTTTTTTGACTGAGACGGTCCCCTAAAAACTTGAGCAGGGAACTAACTGCTTACAACCTTCTAAAAAAGTACCGTGTATTAATAAAAAATTATTATATGCCTTTGCGTCTAGAAGCTGCAATTGCTAACTGATTTTAAGAGAGTACTAAAATTTGGATTCCAGTTACTACTAGGTATTTAAGTAAAAATTCAATGTGAACATTTCATTGCGAAAAATGCGCGCGAAACATTGGTAGCTCACACACATGTTGTTGACGCCGGAACTACTTTCCTTGCAACGCGCATTTGTTTCGGCTCATTCTTTTAGATTTGGCTTGAGAAGCAAACTTAACAGATTGTTCTTCATCAACGTTAAAATTTTAAGCCGGATGACGTTGAATGAAAGTCTGATAAGTCCTGTTGTCAAAAATGGCCGTCTGTTTATGCATTTCTGTTCCTAAAATGAGAACAATTTTGTATTAATATTCATGCTCCCTAGTGGTCAAAAATGTCTGCTCAAATATTTAGAAAGCTTAAATTATACGATGAAACCATCTATCAACAAAGTTTTCAGACACATATATTCCAAGTTACATGTAAACTTTCCAATCATTTATACGCGTGATACTTCTTAAAACGAGTTTAGACTTGAGATTTGAACGGACGATTGTGCTCCTCAGTGATGTTCACTGTTGCTTTCATTTGATGATGTTGTCGGGTGCTTGGAAAGCTTAGTTTTTCAATTGAATTTGTTTTTCACTTTATACTGAGCCTGAGGAATATCTTATCTGAGCCTGGAATATCGCAATGTCAATTTTGTTAGCGTTTGCGTGAGCTTGTTTCTACGTCTTGTAGAGGAAATGGTTAAAGGTAATTAACTTATTAAGTAGTCCAGACTACGAGTTATAAAACATCTCTTGCTTTGTAGGATGCTTAGTTACCAACAGGCTAACGTAATTTCTAGCATAATTCGGCGAACAAAAAAATGAGCAATATGTATTTGAATTTGTTATTTCTGCTATATCGGCTTGACTTGCAATTTCGACAATTTATTGAGTGAGAATTATCGTTTTTCAGGTTACCTACTGTCGACTGACGACTGTAGAAATGTGATTTTATTGTCTAATTTGGGCTTAGGTAGTTGGATTATGTAATAGGCCTAAGTTGAAGACTTGAAGTCAGGGTTTAAAAGCATCTTATAGTACAGAGTGAAAGTCTATTAATATAATTCCAGTGGCTCCCGCTCCAAAATAGTTGAGTGAATGTGAATGATTCTTTTAATTTGTAGACCCTACTAAATCCTAAACTAAACCTTTTGGCTACCAAAAAAAGTGATGACATCACAGTACAGATAGATACTATTTACTAATATTGTATGGGGCACTATCACTATGGTCTATGGGCCATATTCTCTAATAATATATTAGTGCAAAGTGGATTAGTGGCAAAGCAGAGAGTTTTTTAGACTCTCCTAAAAGTTCAATTTTAAGTCATAGTAAACCTAAGTAAACCAATAAACTAATAAAGTATCATGGATAGCTAGTATTAGGCAGTAGGCTAGCTACCAGCATCATCATACACAAGAGACAAGATATTGGTTTGACCATTTGATGATGAGATATAAGGCCTACTGGTTATTATTGAAAAGAATTATTTATTATTATTATTTAATTATTAATTATATTATTGATTTGATGATAAGGTATACCAATTTATTACCAAGTCTTGAGGAAATGAGAAAATTGAAAATGAACTGATTATAAAAAAAATCACTGGTTTGCCACTATGTATAATAAACTTAGTGTGTTATCAAATTGCCTGAAGACAACTAGTAATCATTATCAAGACTCAGAAGACAAGTCACAAGAGCAACCCATGAATAAAACAAAAATGTACCTGACACTGACAGTGCTTTCAGTTCAAAAGTATTTAGTAAATTATTAAATATCAAGCCAGCAACATCCAACTCAAGTATTTGTTACATTACTTACATACACAATAAAAACTAAAGCCTTTGGTACAAGCAGGAAGCAGCCAGATAGTGGCCATTCAAATATTTTTTTAGACTCTTCCTTATCTTAAAGTTCATTTTTGAGTTCTATAAGTAAACCAGCAAAGTAACATGAATATCAGCATTATCATACATAAGAGATTGGTTTAAATATTGAGTAGATAGGGAAATTAAAAATGAACTGATTCTAAAAAATCTTTAGTTTCTGTAGTTGGCCACTGTACAGACAGTACATATTATAAATAAATGTACTAGAATAAATAGGTAGGAATGAAGTGAATATCTGGAAAATTAATCAACTCCATAGCAGGTAACATATATTTATCCTATGTCATATGCTAAAGCCCAATTTCATCACAAGTAGAAAAATTAGGCTAGTATGTCTCAGGGAAGTGAATTTACACCTGGGACAAACCCCACTATATTACTCTCATCTCCTTCATTCAGAATCACATTATACTAAAAAAGTTGAAAGATTTGTCCTCCCTTCTCTCATTCTACCTGTTAAATTGATGCATGGCCAATAAAATTTAAAATGGTCAATATACCAAGCTTGTTCAGTGCTCCAGTTGCTAATTTAGCCATACTTGTGGCGTATGGCATACATTAACTGGGCCAAAATAATGGGACTAGAACTTGTGTTTTACTTCAAAATTTTTTTTTTACAAACTCAAAGCAAAATTTCTTGAATTTCTTTTCAGAATGACAATGTAGTTGACTTCTAAAGCATAAGAAAAAATATAACTTGGTACTCACTGCTGTGAGTGACAGAGAGCTCATTTTCTCATTGACAAAAACGTGAAGTCACAGACAGACAGACAGATGGACATGACAAGCACAATAGCACCTTTTTTCCATAAATCGGAAAATGGACTAAAAGGCTGCATATTTTCCTTTTTTAGCGCATTTTCTCATTCATGAAAAAAATTCACTATTGCGCTCGCCATGTCCGTCTGTCTGTCCATCCGTGACTTCATGTTTTCATCAACGAGAAAAATGCGCTCTCTGGCACTCACTGCAGTGAGTACTGAGTTATATTTTTCTTGTATTAATTCATTTTGATGAAAATAGTGACCATGCAATTCAATATTTTGACAACTATTTTAAGTTGCCAAGTCAGATAAGCATGCTGGAATTCTAGAGGGGGTATTAAATTAATAAGAATACACAGCATATTGGACCCAACCAATCATAGTTTGGGGATGGACATGCACCTGCCCAATAATAAGCTAAATGCACTATCCTAGAATTCCAGCTTGCAGAAAAGATGAGATGCACTGTTCTAAAATGATTCATATATTTATTTATGTATTCAATTACTTCAGCTTGAGTATCTTGCATATTAAATATGTCACAGTTCAATTGCTACTGTAAGCAATGATGCATGCTTGACCAAGATTGTACTATGACTGCCATTTCCAGCATGGATGAGAGTTATTTGCTATTGAGTTCTAATGTTGGAGAATAGGTAGACTGTTTTAAAGCCTGCACAACTTACCATTTTGAGATCTTTAGTATTCATTGGATTTTAAGAATAAATTGGTTGAATTATTTTTGTTACAATTGATATATCTTCTGGATCAAGTGACATTATTGAAGCTCATTCACTTGTTTTACAGGTAGGAAGCCATCTGCAAAGTGCCAGGTGGCTAGTAAGATCACCTCAGCTGGTGCAAAGATGCCAGATATTTCTGTGAAGTCTGCCACATTATCTCCTGTTAATAAAATGATTGTGGGGAAACAGAAGGACAGAATCACTGATTATTTCTCACCTGCAAGGTATGGATGTTAACAAAGTAGCTTATTAAAATTTTTTTAGTTTAGGTAGTCTATTAAATAATGTTTTATGGAGAAGTGCTATCAGGATTGAATCTTCTATATACTTGTATCTAATCCTGGAAAGGAAATATTTTTCTAAGCTAGCTAAATGATGTCAAATGTTTTTTTTTTTCATCATGAAAGCCTGTTAAGTTGTTAGATACAAAAAGGTTATAATTTGTTATATTGGATTTCAAATCTTTTCATTTTTTGGACAACTGAACACTCCAAAGATTTGATAAATGAGTAAAAAGATGAGACTAAGTTTTTTTTTAAGAAACATGTTAGCAGTATTTCCAATTTCCATTGAACTCAAACAGATGACTACTAGGCATGTATATAATCCATTTTGCATTGGTACAAATGTTTGTATATCAGGCATCTGATAAAAAAAGTTTCCTTGATTTTTTTTTGTGTAAATTTCTTGAAGTGTAACTTTCTATAGCATTCCTATGTACAATTTCAGATCTCCTGTGATGGCTGATGATGCAGACTCTGCCATCACAAGCACGGCGCAACATGGCTTGAGATCACATCAACAACACCCCATGAAGAGTGCTAGGCTCACTCGAACAAGTAGCTCCGATGTTTGCCAGTTGCAAGAGAGTGATGTTCAGGTTATAAATGATAAAAGTGTGGACTGTGTGGTATTAGACCCTGGATACAGATGCGAGGGTAAAAAGTTAGCTGGTACTAAAACCTTATCCACAGATGTTGAGAATTCTTCCCAGCTTGTTGTTAAATCATCTTCATTTAAGGCCAAAACTCCTCATTTAAGCTCTCATAGCGATGCTGAGAGTGACGACTGTATTGTTATAGAAAAGGATATGGATTGCTGTGCAAACCCAAGTTCTGGTCAAGGAAAAAAGGTGCGTTCTGATGAGTGAGGAAATTCATTTGCTATTAAGTTGACTGTCTGATAATCTGTTGCATGATTGAAACTTTCTTATATACGTTTTTGGTTTGCATAATGCAGAGGAGTTTTTAATTATGCTTGAATTTTCCATCTGAATATTTGAATTGTACTGTTAATGATTCATAGATTTTTTTCTTTGTTCTCAGTTTCAGGCTGTGTTTCATTTAACAATTTGTAATTTTTTCGGCAGAATTTTCATGGCTTCAATGGTTTTGTGTCCTCCAATCCTGCTGCTTGTGGCAATTCATCATATGCTTTGAGAAACACGCGGAGCCGTTCACAGAAACACATTTCAAGTCAGAGCGCTCCCACGGCTGCTCTCAAGGTAGTCCACATCAGCAAGATGTGTGTTACTTGCAATTCATCAAAAGCATCTAATGCTTCTCCAGTTATGAATGGTGTAGGTCAATACTCTTGCTGCACTAGTGGGAGCAGCAGTTGTAGCAACAGCAGCTGTGGTAGTAGTGTGAATGGAAGCAGCTGCCCAATAGTGTGTGATATTTGCGATGGCCGAGATGTCATTTGTGATAATGAATTAGACAAGCCAATACTTCCATGCTACTCTGACGAAATTTCATGTCAGTCGCCTTCTCATTCAAATATGGCTGCAAATGGTGTTGCCTACAAGTGCAGTTCAACATTCCCATGTGATGTAACGTCACAATCTCCTCACAAGAAGCAATGTCAACTGGCATCTGCATCCAATGGGTTGCTCACTGATCAAGACCTCCTATATTCCGCCGTATATAATAAACGCACCGCCATGATGCAGTCTATTCAAGATGCAGAATTTGGCAAACCTTCGTTATCAACTACAAGTTATACTACAGAGCTTACAGATATTAGTCCCAAGAAGAGAAACCATTCAGATTGTACAAGTCCCCAAAAACACACTACACCTGAAGTTGGGTTTACTAAGTTGCATCATGGTTCACCTTCGCTGCTAGGTGTGGAACTCTCGAATAATGATCTCATTCCATCTCCTAACAAGAAGTCCATGCAGTATTCTTTACGTCACTCCACTACTCCAAAGAATAATGTTGTAAATTCTTATGATAGCTGCATTTCCAGAAAGCCTATGCCTCTAGTTGTTGACCTAACTGAAACTAGCAAGTCGTCTGAGGTATGCTGTGCTGAGGAAGTGTCAATAAAACCGTGTGTGAAGGAATGTGGTGCAGACAAGCTAGCTGCATTACAGCCCAGATTAAACCACAGCTCACCCACTGTGCGCAAGCTTTTTACCGAGTCCAAAGACAAGGTCTCTAATTGTGAACAAAATAAGCCAGTTTCAGATACTTCAGTAGCATATAAGACTCGAGTTAAATCAGCTTGTACCTCTCCAACTTTGCGTGGCAATGCTGCTCTTAAAACTCCCCCCAAGTCCGCCAGCTCTTCAACACCTTCCACTCCTCACAAGATTCAAGTGATCGGCAATGCTGAGGATCTCTTCTTGAGCCCAACAACGAGCAATGCTATGGGTCGTCTGAGCGTCTGCAGCCCTAAACAGCATCCTGGTGTGGAGAGCAAGCGCACCCGCGGCCGTAAAAGGTTAGATTTATTTTACTATCTTATGAAAAATTGTTTCATGTCATTAATGTATACCTCGTACACATAGCACAAACTTAGAAGTTTTAGGTTAGCATTCTCTTAGCAAATTAGTAATCATTGTTTTTAAATTTGTTGTTAAATTATTAAAGTAGCTGATGTAGAACAATAAAAGCTTTGTTTAAATTAGAAAAGGCCATCCTAACCTTGTTACACTTAACTACAGAAATTATTTTCCTCGCCAGGTTGAATATGAGGCCAGCAAATGCTGGAGTGGTAGTTGTGGACTACACTAACTCAAAAATGCTCGATGAGGCTAGCTCGACCCGATCTTCCATACCTGATGGCAGCCATGATGCTGTTAACAGTGCTCACTTGGGGGCTAAGAATTGGAGCCCTGGCAGTGGCAGCTTGAATGGATTTGTACGTCCAGTCACCCGCAATGCTAAGATGATGCAGCTGCAACACTCTAATGATCTCAAACTCAATGCCAACAAGTCAACGGGAAACATAATTCCTGATCTCATTAATAATAAGCTTGATAAAACCAAAGGCCCAGCAATTGACACAATCAATCTCACAAACGGTGAAGATACTTCAGCCAAGAACAAAAATGCACAAATGACTGACTTCTTCCCAATCAGAAGATCTGAGAGGAAACCTAAAGCCACGCTCATGTTAGAAAGACAAATGGCCATTGAGAAAAAGATTTTGAGTGGCTCTGAGGAGGGACTGAGAGTGAGTTAATACCTGGTAGCTTCGGTTTTATTCTTTTATAATTTGTACCAGTATGTATAAGACCCATTTTATCTATACTTCTACTGCATTGAATTTCAGGATTTAAATGCCAAAATTTCATTAGTATTTCATCACATAGTTCTTGCAAAATGTATTCTGAACTTTTTATAATAACTTGAGGCATGGTGTTTTTTTTTGTAATTACCTTTCCTCTAGATTGAGCAACTCCTAGGAAATACCACAGATTGCTGACACATTTCACTGGTAGATTTAAATGACTACTACCATGTTCTCAGGTTGAGCATTTTGGCGAGAAGGGGCGAGGAGTCGTGACAACGAGAATGTTCCGCAAGGGTGAATTTGTGGTCGAGTATGTAGGCAAGCTGCTTGATGTTAAAGATGCCAAGCTACGAGAGCAGAAGTATGCCATGGACTCGACCATGGGCTGCTACATGTACTACTTTGTCTTCAATGGCGTGCAGTACTGGTGAGCAAACATTTCAACTCAACCTCTGTCTAAACTGATCTTTTTGAAAAGTACCAATTTGTAGCATGTATTTTTTTTTGTTGGAAACAATGTTTACTCATGTTTTCTGATACCAGTGATAACTGATTACTTGCTAAAGGTTTCTGGCTTTCTATCACAAGACCTGAACCAAAATGAAATTTAGCAAATGAAACTGACTTGAACAGTCGCATGTAGAGCAATGGATTCAAATTTGGTTGACGTGTTGCCAAATGTTACAAGAGGCAAAAAGCAGGGTAACTTTTACAAATGTTTTCGACATTGATAGATATGGCTGAATCTAAAAAATTGATGTTCTCTTCTACTCATTGTATTTGAACAATGACAATCTACAATGGTTATGTTAAAAAATGTCAACGTAAGCAGTATGTATGGGAGCAAGTTGTGAATAATTGGGATTGTGGTTGAAGGTGCTTGCCTAAAGGCATAGTAGTCTTTTCTAATATTGTTATGCCGTTCATAACAATTATTGTTTTAATCTATTTTCAAAATTATTGTTGGTTTACCAAACATTAAATTGAATGACTAAGTCACCATTAACACGTTGACTATAATTGCTTCATCTTGTACTATTATTTCATTTTTTGTGCTGTTTTTAAGGAGGGTTGCCAGATGGTCATTTTTTCCGGACAAATTCCGTGATTTAGTTTTTCTCAATTGCGTTGGCCGGCTAAAATTTATGATAGGAGTACTTCTTAATTACATTTTAAATACTGCAAAAAGAAAATAAATGAAATTTTTATAGCGGAACCTACAAATAAACTGGTATATATTGAGTTATCTGCCTTTTTTGTTCTCGGATTTGGCCGATTTTAGCCAACCTGAATTATGTACCACTACCTCCTGGAGAAATACATTTCGTGGTACGCATATGTACCACTTCGGAGTCAACGTGTTAACCCCAGATACCATAAGGTACCTTTGATCTTCATAATTTGTAACTTTACTGTTTCGTTCTTCATGACCTCTGATAAATGGGTAACTTACTCCCTGATTTATTCCTAGCTGGTCTAAAGAAGTGCTGCAGAATTTTGCATCCACAGTTTTATGAAAACATATTGACACTTGTGATGGCTGGGTGGTGACACTATATGAACACTTCTGATGACTTGGTTGTGACACTATATGAACACTTCTGATGGCTGGGTGGCGACACTATATGAACACTTCTGATGGCTGGGTGGTGACACTATGAACACTTCTGATGGCTGGGTGGTGACACTATATGAACACATCTGATGGCTGGGTGGCGACACTATGAACACTTGTGATGGCTGGGTGGTGACACTATATGAACACTTCTGATGGTTGGGTGGTGACACTATATTAACACTTCTGATGGCTGGGTGGTGACACTATATGAACACATCTGATGGCTGGGTGGTGACACTATATTAACACTTCTGATGGCTGGGTGGCGACACTATATGAACACATCTGATGGCTGGGTGGCGACACTATATTAACACTTCTGATGGCTGGGTGGTGACATGAACACATCTGATGGCTGGGTGGCGACACTATATGAACACGTCTGATGGCTGGGTGGCGACACTATGAACACATCTGATGGCTGGGTGGCGACACTATGAACACATCTGATGGCTGGGTGGCGACGACAGCGGTCAAATTGTTTTGTTTCCTTTACAGTATTGACGGCACGGAAGAGACGAGATACCTGGGCCGCCTTGTAAACCACAGCCGCACCAACAACAACCTGGTCACGAAGGCTGTGTGCGTGAACGGCCAGCCCCACCTCATCCTGCTTGCCAAGAAAGACATCCCGCCTGACACCGAGCTGCTCTACGACTATGGCGACCGCTCTAAAGAAGCCCTTGCCAACCACCCTTGGCTGGCCTTTTGATCGCCAAATCGCTTTAGCGTACCTAATTGATCACTTTCGTACTATATCACAATTCTCTAATTAATAGAATTTCATGAAATGCTTGGAATAGGTCTTATTGGCCGGAAAATTCACATTCTGGCCACATTTTAATTCCAATAAATTTATTCTGAGAGAAAAATGAAGAGCAAAAACCATTCTTCATCGGTTACATATTTCGTATCACAGGACAGATTCATTGCCCAATTCAATGCAATATCTACACTACACCTGACTTAGATTTGTTTACTAATATTGATTGGATCCACGTGTGTTCTAGATGATAGTTGTCTCGTTGGTTTAGAATTATCTAGCTAATATATCTGTCTACTTTCTAGGCACACTAGCCTGGACAGCTATATTGGCCAATTACGATCAAAATACCGTGTATTGTGACAGTATTTGCGTTCCTGCCATTGGTCATATCTTAGTAATGGATCTTTGGTATGGCGCTTACTAATTTGGCACTGTCAACTATTAATAGCTCTACTATTACCGTGACTAATGATATTTGTTCATGTAATAAATTGACAATCGATAGCAACCCTGTTTCCTCGCTGTATTCATGACTGAAGCCTGTATTACCTGGTCTCTTTTTCTTGTTGGTTTGCTTTTCATCGTTTATATTCTGAGAAGTGTTCCTTAATGCACACAATTTGTACGCTGCGATTGTGTTGGATAAAACAAAACTTTATGATTTTTAGGTTTATTTTTGTGATCTACGCATGTCTTCATGTTCGTTGTGTCCATCTTCTGGTGTCTTGCTAGTGGTATCTTCATTCGACCACAATTAAACTAGCAATTATTACAAAGCTACGATTTCTGATAATATACTGCTGCCGGAAGTGTGTCTTCCGGCAGCAATATATTCCGGCCATGTTCTAAAATCTCTTGAGCGCCGTGTATTCTACGATAATTGTGCTCTCTTATGATGAACTCGTGTATGGTGAACTGTTTGGCTGCTGTAGCTGAGATGGCCGTTTGTGTGTGTCAGTGTCAGCTACTGACTGCTACTATGTAGCCACGCGTTATAGAGTGGCTCGTATTTATATTGATTACATCAATAATTTGAGGTAAACGTGGGCATCATGTGAACTTCTAGTGTACAGTAAATTTTGTGCCGTGAATATTTTAGTCTTAAACCTGTGTAGACAAGCATTGAACTTTAATTATTAAATATAGATCGGCGAAAGTGAACTCAGCCGCCGGGTGCTGTGAAGAGGCTAGAACTGCTTTGTATGTTCCTGTAGCCTTGGCGTTACGTGTACCATGTATCATTATTTTTATAGTTCCTCTGCTAAGTCATGGCCGAGCTCATTTCGCTTATTGATCATTTCACAATTTGCTGTGCTCTTCATCTTCTAATGCGTTATGTTGCCATGCACGACCTAGAATTTGTAAGATTCTTTCTTCGAAATGTAATCTAGGGAGACTTGGCTATAAATACGTAAACATATTTCATAATACTTGACAATTGTTAGTCTTGCCCCCACATGGTACTTCTTTCTTTCGCTAAGCTTATCTTTCAGTGCTTGGAAAAGACATGATTCGCAGATATGTGCTTAGGTACTAGTGGCTATGCGGTTCTGAACTTGAAATTGTTTTTTTCCAATCTTTTGCATCATGTAACAGTAGATTCTGTGCCACTGTAATATCACAGTGTACTTTTCATCCTCATTATTCATGCATTGTAATTGATGCACTGTCATCATGCAATTTATCATACAAATTTTAGGCTACACAAGTTCATTTGCCTTCAACTTGAAAGAATAAACTAGTTAGGGAACTGCAAATTTAATGACCTGCTGTGAATGTGAAGTGTTCTTCAAACTGGCTGGTCTGATACTATTTTGATTATTTGTGTCTAACACTCTGACTTGTTGTCATGCTGGACTAGGGAATTATTTTTAGGACAGTTCCATTGCTGGCATAGTTACTGTCCTTTACTAATCTACGAGTTGTATATGCCAATATGTCGCGATATTTTTGTTATTAATTTGATTCTTTAAATAAGCCCGTGAGTATTTTGTCGTTTTTGGATCAGTGAGTTTCTAGCGCAACGATAGCGACACCGAGATAACAGGAGCCGTGACTTCCTTTAATTTTCTGCGGACGGCATTGCCGCCTCTCAACATTTTTGTAGCGTACATTGTTAATGCCATGTGTGACATTCTTTCGTGTTTTTGCTTTCTCCATCACCAAAGATGGATGTTGAAAGCTGTGATAAGAAAAGAGTTTTGTTTCTTTTTAGCTCACACAAAAATATATATGACGTGCTTTCGCACGTTATTAAGCATTTATTGGTTTCCACGCCCTGATAAGGCTGATATACTAGTAGGTTGACGCCCCCTTCACAATCTCAAACTTGATTTCAAGCAAAACTTGCCAAATCGTTAGGAAAAACAGACCAACTAGTTGCCTTCTGATCAATAGTTGAAACTGTGGACATAATATATATATCGCTAAAAGAAGCGAAGATAGCCTAATTTCAAATTCAAATACCATTATTGACATAGGTTACTCGTTTGTAGTAAATCCTTTTTATTTTTCATTAATATTTTAGTACGATTTTTGTAATTTTATGTGAAAAAAGGGACTAGCGTGGATTGAAAATATTTTTACCTGTGTTATGTTGATGTATCATCTTAATCTTTGGTGCTGAATTTTCTGCATGGCCTCTTATCAAAAATCGGCGTTTTAATTATCGTTAACCAAATCAGTGAAGACTAGTGTACCGATGTACGTTGTTCTGAAATTGTAGAGAAAGTCTGTGTGTCATTGCGGCTCATCTCTAGAAACGTCGAAATAAGTGTAGGCATTTTTTCTTTGTTCAACATGGATTCGATAGCGAAAAAATCGTCAAGCTAATTTTTTATAATATCTTCATCGAAAATGCTATGGATACCAGCGCAATCATCTGTTTAACAAAGTGTTTAAATCCTCTCTTTTTGTATTTATTCTAAAGAAAATGGAAGAAATCTTCCGAGATGAACCTATTGTGTTGTAATTAGACTATTTGTGTACAGGAGCATTTAGCACCTAAATAACATATTCAGTTCTATTTTATAAATTCTATATTTAAGAAATCCACACGTTTCTCGTTAAATAACTCGCTTGCACAGCGACCATGTCTATAGAATTTTTCAACCGTCAAAATGATCGAATACATGTGGCATTCGAAAGCTTTCTTTGGTCACTCTATACGTGGTACACCGCGTCACCGTTCTTTTTTTTATTTATTTAAATATCATTATTCTATGCAGCTTCCTAATTTTTTATTATACGAATCATTTAGTGTGAGATTATACGAAAATTTTGCCCAAAAATTTGTTCTTAGGTTATCGAAATTCTTGAACAAGAACAGCGTTCAGAAATACCGGAAGATTGACGAAGGCTTTATTGGCAATTATCTGACGTCTTGTTGGAATCGCCCAAAATGATTATAAAATTCAAAATCGCAAAACATCATAATTGTTATCTTTTGTTGAAAGCATTTTTAATATATTGCCATACATTGATACTGTAGACATGCTTGGCGCACTTTAATTGCCCGAATAAACGGTGACGTCGTGTACCTTCACAGAGAGGTTAGTTAGTATGCGATCTGTAGGTTTAACATTCCCGTTTTTGCCAGAAGAATTTTGTTTTTTGGGCGTCAGAGATGATGATTGTTCCTAGCACAGCCAAGGTAAATAGCCTGTTCTTGTTACCACCAAATCTCTGCTGAACAATCTTGACTGCGTATATTTTCATAACATATCCTTGCTTAACATTCATGTAAATTTTAAATTAGATTTATCCTTAATATTCGATGGATACAGAATGCAGAATACGAGCGTCTCCATACTTGTTCAGAGAAATTCACATTCCCATCACCTTCGTGTTCATCAGTGAGAGAGAAGTTTGATATATGGGTTTGTGCATGGCCGTTATGCTGCGACCATGATCCTTGCAGGAATTCTAGTTTAAACCAAAGTGTGTTTGAAGTCGCGTGTTAAGATCTTAGATATTATTGGAAGGATTGACCGCACGGAAGTGCCTCACATTCGTTCCTTTTGTACGTACTGCATTCTGATCGCAGGGACATTGCCGCTTACGGCTCAGCTGTTGAGCGATTTGCTGGCCTTGATTAATATACATCTTGACTAATTATCGCTTTTTTAATATCTTCCAGTCCTGCTGCTTTCAAATATGATTAAATTAAACATAATTTTAAATTCGTCATGCTGAGAATTGCTTCGGTTTATGGCATGGATATCAACTCTATAATTTGCTGTTGCAGAATTTGACGAAATTCACGTTTTGGAAACGTTTACAAGTTTTCAAAAATTTTTAATTTCGCCTATGTTGCTGTGGATACGTAACCACTAACTTTTTTTATCAAGTTAACATATTTATACAGCAGAGTTGAGGTTTTGAGAACGTCAGATTCGGCTGAGATTCCCGAATTGCTTTATAATAAATCGCTACTAATTTTTGTCGCGTTTCAAAATAATTTGAACTTGACAAGCAAGCAGCAAGCCAGCCCTCACATAAAGACGTTTCTTCGTTTTTGTATTATGGCTGCATCAAATAGTTATGGCTGTATCAAAGATCTTCACGTTTCGAAGAAATTTATTAGTATAGTATCTTCAGCGTTGAAGAATAGGCCTGTCGCCGATTCTTGTATTTTTCTTGACTAGTTCACAAATCTAAAAGACTGGCCTTGTGATCAAATCTTTTCAACGGACAGTGATTTGAAATCGTTTCAAGACTAAACATATGCTCCTGCGCAGCCTTGTCTAGTCTGTTCTTGAACGTGTTCATGCTCGGAGTGGCAACGTCAACAATATCTTCAGGGAGGCTGTTCCACATGTCGGTGACTCGAAGCGAGAAAAAGTGCTAGTCATTTTCCTAAGGCATCTGATATCCTCGTTTGTGGATCGGTCGTCCTGCTAAGGGTTCATACTAAATACTAGCATGTAGCCCTAAATTCTCTTTATCTTCAGTAGTGCCCCAGACCGTAACCCACTTCCTCTGAATGTCCGTCTTATGGTGATGCCCGGCGGCAATTTTTCCCTCACCTATGCCAAGCCACCCCCGACGTAAACCTAAAAAGTATTTTGGCCCAACCAGAGCAAGGGAACTATAATGTTGACCGACTCATGGAGTACTTGAGGGCAATCAATGCATTTAACTACATATGATCCCCACAACACCAAACACAAGTGATGTAATCTACCCCTAGCCAGTAATGTCCGATGTGACTTTCGGCGCGAGATAGCTCGACCTGAAGCGCTAGCAACTACGGCCACTGAACTAACTAACTAACTAACTCTTTATCTTGAGTCCTGTCATTCACATTCCCTGTTCCTGTTTATAAAGAATGAGGAAGCTTATACGTTTCAACCCCTCAAGTGGACTTATGATGTGTCTCTGTGCTCGTCAGAAGTCCAATGGGATTTCGCGCTCCTCCCCTCTTCCTCCCTGAGCGCCCCACCGCTGAGCTCGCGGTGTCTAACTGCAGGTCTCAGTTGTGGGGTTAAGTTATTATGTAGGTAGGATTCCTTACATTTCCCTTCTCTGTCTCTCTCGTGCGGACGGCCGACGTCCCGTGTAAGCGACCTCTTGTTCGAGTGTCTTAGTTTCTGTTGCTTTTAACCTGTCCCTCCTTGTCACTTCCGTCTCTTTGAGATGCTAACGCTGCTTCTTTCGAATCAGCTTCAGCAGGCCGGACAATTGTAACCTCTTGGCTAATGGTATCTTGCCCGCCGGTGCCTACGGAGAGGCCAAGCGGTGTCTCCGCATGTAGATCGCCTCCCGCGTTTCGGCGACTGACGTTATAAACGCCGTCCTCGCAGCCCCACCACCACCGATTGCATCGGCGGAGGCCACACTCCCTCGCCCCTACCGGTCGGCGCTATCCCAGCTTCGCTCGGGATACTGCAGCTCCCTGGCATCCTACTCCGCTAGGATCGGACGCTCCCCTAGCTCCGCCTGCCCGGAGTGCGGGGATCCCCTCCAGTCCCTCCATCATCTCTTCGCCTGCCCCGCCTTCCCCTCGTCCCTTAGCGGCTCCTCACTGTGGGACAGCCCCGTGGATGCAGCGGCATTCCTGACCACCCTTCCTGCCTTCGCCCATCTCCCCCCTCTTCCGGTGCTTGCCCCCCGCCCACCACCTGAGCTTCCCCCCCCGGCGAGCGTGACGGACGCAAAAAACAACAACATTGTGACCTGCTCCTTGTGGGTGATGATTAATTTGAGACTTTGAATGATTCAGACCTTTCGCCTGGCGATGTTATCTTTTGACCTCCGGTGCGAAATAGCTTGGCTAAAGCGCTAGCAAACCATTCTACTGCTAATACGTTTCAATTTAAAGAGGCCTGTTCAAACCCAAATTTTTAAGCGTTCGTGGGCAGGATAATAAATTGGGACATATAACTGATGTCTTCAGATATGGAACAGGTGCTTCCTAACTCAATGTTTTCGCTTCTAGAGGTTGCCATACTTTTTCAATGCAGTTAGTGATGTCGATATATTTTAATTCGCTTCAAATTGGGTGACGGATCACTAGTCAATACTTCCACTGCCATGTCAAATATAGAAGATAGCCTGTCTATCTTGTTGGTCCATTATATCCCAGCACTTGCTGACAAAATATGTTATTTGTACCACTCATTTGGTTAAATGGATCCGGCATTTGATGCTTCGAGCAATGTTCACACAAATATTGCTATTCAGGATATTTTAGCTTTGAAATTATGCTAAACAAAGCGGTCGTTCAATTTTCTTACTTCAAAATTCATGTGGATACGGTGCTTTGAATTCATGGTTAAATATTTATTGTCCGAAGCTAATCACCCAGCTATAATAAATCATTTTATTATAATAAAAAATAAATTTGTAGAAACCTAACTCTTGTAGTATTGCCTGTGTTTAACTTGTTTGGTTGAACATTTCTGCGCAGAAAATTCATCGGCGTCTCACACGGATTTAGTCATGCTTGAACTAGTGCAACCATGGATTTAGTCATTTGCCAATACAAGTATCCGTAACACGGCACGGAGCGAGCGCTCATTGCGGATACCGAGAGCCTGAGAGGGCCAAAAAAAGCCATCAGAGTCAGACCAAGATCGAGAACCCTGGCCTGACCTGCGGCGTGACAGGAATTGAACTAGGGCTACTTGTGTATTTTAACGTGCTTTAGATCAATGAAACCAACTTCTGGGGAACATTGCCGTGCCGCTGAACGATACTCATTTCAATAATTGACTTTTGTGATGGTGCTCGGAGCCCTCGGAGTCGGAAGGCGGACCAAGCGGTCTCAGGTCTGCTGTCAGTGTCTTCTACGTAAATGTATCTACCTAGACGGTAGACCTAGTTAGTCTAGTATTGTGTTACTGTTAGACTTAGTAATAACTTTTGCGTTTTGCTTGTCAGCCTGAAATGGCCTTTAAAACTTTGTCAGTTTGTGCAGCAGAGGAGACAGGAGAGTGAACAAAAATCTAATGATCTTTGCCAACTAGCTAGCTATTTACTAATATAGCAAATAGCATATTAATCCATGTGACATGTCTTTGAATAGCCTAACCTAACCTAGAGTTTTGCAATACATGGCTTTTTAATTACCATTTTACATGCCTTTTAATTTTAGGCTTTTTTGATGCAATCTTGAAGGTTTTTGGCTTGACATTCAGCTTTCAGAATTCTGATAGCCTACCTTAGGCTACCTAGTTCAGGCTAGGTAGTTGACCCCAAACCCCAATGATCTGTAGGCTACCTAGTTCTGTAATGGCATAGCCAAATCCTAAAGTAAATATAATGGCAACTCTTTAGACACAAAACCTAATCTTGGCCACACTCAGGATGATGTATGTTTTCGGTGAATTTTCCCGCTCATTTTCACTTTTTTTAAGCTATTGCTGTGCACAGTTGGCGCAATGTAATGAAAATTGATTCTCTTCGCGCACGTTTTTGCGCAATCCCGGCCATCAATTCTACGTCCCGCTGCCGCGCACGAGCAGTTTGTGGAGAAACAGATGTAATACTCACATTACTCAGTACAGTATGCCTTTAATTATCTTTCAATAATATATGATTTTTCTTGATACGGAAATTTGGTGAATGAGAAATCTAGAACTTTATTTTAGAAGAAATTTTCTCCAAAGTCATATGGCAACACTGAACACCATCTGTTTACATTTCGTATGTTTAATAGCCGCAGTTTACGATTACCGAACGTTCCGTATCCGTCAACTTCGTCAAGCGGAAGAGTCATAAGTAACCCGGACATGTCTTACATTTTATTATTGTCAGTTCAACTCGCGTAGTCAATATACTCGCGTATATTGTCGACTAAAATAGTAGAACTATTTTAGCCTTCTAAAGTATGGCGCACGGCGCATTTTTTTACCAGCATAGTACAGCGCACCGCGCGGTTTGTTAAAATGACAAAAAAAGTTCCTGCGCACCTGGCACATCTTCCTGACCATGGAATCTTGGGCTTTCTTGACAACAATTGCCATTTGCAAAAATCTGCATAGCAGATTGTGGATAGGTATAAAACACAATTTTAAAACAGTTTTGGCTTAAAATTGCAGCTGCAGGAGACAGGTTAAAATATTGTTTTACAATCAATAGTGAAAAAATTAAATGAGTACTCTCTGAAGTGAGTGGCAGTGTGGCACTAAGCCTACTGTGGCAGAGACTAGAGAACACATTTTCTTGCCCATCCATCCGTGAAGTCATAAGCCGATGAACGGCGATGATAAGCGGACAGACAGACTCAGAGTCTCAGACATGACCAGAACAATAGGAAGCGCTTTTTTTCTATAAATAAGAGAATGTTCTAAAAAGCAAGTGATTGCCTCTAGGCTCTATCTTAATTTTATACGAAATAAATTGGGTATAGGACATGAAAAAGGGTAAAATTGACTGCAAACATGAACATTTTTGTGTCATTTATGTTTGGATTCTCAATTTTTTATAATAGATATATCATTGTGGCATTGCCATTTTGGATAAGGCCTAATTGGCCATAGTGGCATAGTTGAGAGAGCCAATTTTAAATTGGCTCTCTATCCATAGGTATCTATTGAATAAGACTTTTAATTCTCTTGACATAGCTTTGGATGATACTTCCCAAATAGATACTTCCCAAATGTAAATTTT